GAGGAATCTGGAATGGAGGGCTCTGCAGCTTCGTAAATTTTTCGAAATTTAGTTCCTGCTGGACGATCCGGTAATTTTTTTCTTTCCTGGCGCAGCTGCGTGATAGCCGATGGAGATCGGTCGCTCTGGATATTTTTGAAAATACCGAAACTTCACCGAAGCCAACCGAAAATGCAGTTTTTGTGTTGTGAATATTCGGTTGCTGCAGCATTCTCGAAATAATTGCGGGTCCGAAGCGGACCTAGTAGGTGTATGTAGTGAGTCTGCTTTTCTACAAATCGTTCAAGAGTGGTCAACCTTTTACAGGTCTGCTGCGGACATATAACAACACAGAGATTGGCTGGTACTACCAGCCTATTAGTGAAAGAGTAAGACGGTTAGTGCGGTTCACATTCCTGAAATTTAGTGGGATTCGATTGAAAAATGTCAAAACTAGAAACGTTTGGAAATGTCTGACGACACACTTGACTTTTCCAAGGTCTCTGCTGTGACGCTTTCAAAAGCTGATTTTCAATGAAATCAGCTTAGAATGGACGAACACGTGATTTCATGTCGACACATATCACTGATTCCTACTACCTGTAGGTAAAACCATTGATTTTGACCGCATTGACTGTTTTTTTCCAATCATTTTGCATCAGGTTTCAAGTTAGGTATTTTATCAAGGGACTTAACAAAAATCAAGTTACCAGTTCGGTGAAATCAAACTCTATCAAGTACGACAGGATACCACGATATACGAGCTCATCTTTGACAGGTTCTTCTGTAGTATACAAAGTAGATTCAAAGATCAGTATAGTGCAAGATTTAAAATGCAGTAGCAGTACTCACCAGTATGAATATCGCCCACCCTCCTTTATGTGGCGATCAAATTTTGCAATGCACTTTGCTTGTGTTAGCAACATACATACATTCTAAACGAGTTCCTAGGCATCTTTGTAGTGTGCCCCCTCCCCCTCAGCCATGCAGAAATAGCGCCGTAGCTTGGCGTTGAGGGGCTATGGACCAGCAAAAGACGCTGAATTAGCTACCCGCCGGTAAGACAATATTTATCACTGCCAAAACATAAGAGCAAGACAAACTGATATGTGAGTCCACGAGCTACAAATAGAAACTATGGTCATTTGGCATAGCACGAACTATTAGTGTAGCTTTGCATTAATAGTGGTTTTACTGCCTAGTACGTAAATCAATATATCACTGCAGTATAAGAGTATGAAAGCGGGATCGCATCCGGATCAGTTAGTGTATCGAAAACGACAACTGCAACAACATCAACACGGACCAGGTGCATACAAACGACAGAATCCCGAAAATTAATTTATTTCTAAGTCAATGCGATCATGTATGGGGTTTCCTCCGCAGCTCGATACCGCGTAAAATCCATGCGAAAGTGACAAAATCTAAATGGACGCACTTGATATTTGTATCGCATGAAACTGTGTGTAAAACACAACACGGACATGAATTAATCCCAGTTGGGTTGTACGTTTACTTCGTACCAAAGCACTACCAGTACTGTCTTAATGTAGAGTGTCAACACAAGCCAAAACCCGACTATATATATATATATAAGAGGAAGAGGGCAGAGTTGTGGAAATAGAGATTGTTTATTTGTTGTTCTCCCTACTGCATCACAATCAATTATTGCAATATTTACAATCTCAAATGGGATGATTGTCAATAGATTGGTGCATCCATTACATTATGGTTGCTCCACTCTGTATTCTTGGCGTTTTCAATTGCAGCTGATACGGATCCGAGTGTAACCAAGTCCCAGCTTAGCTTTAGAAACATTATCGTTTCCAAAGTCGACGCACTCATACTTTTCCGTAGGTACCCTAAGGAGCTTTGACCATCGAGAAAAATCGCTCTGCCACCACGGATGTCTCCGGAATCCAGTTAGCTTCGATGTACTTTGACCCGCGATTTCGTGCCTTCTTAGCGATTGCTTGGTCAAGCTCCTCAGCAGTTCTCTTTCGCTTTGAACGCGACGCTCGTATCTCGCCGTTGGTCAGATTGCCCAGCCGGTGAGCGCAGTAAACGAGCGACCGCATGCCTCTCCGGTACAAGCAGCGTTTTTTCGGCTCCTCATTGAATCTTGGCCAACCCTGCCTCAAAGCCTGGACACTCAACCACTTCTCCACCAGCGGCCAAACAGTAATCCATGTCATCATCGTCATCCAAAACAACATCGAAGATGTCGCACACAGTAGTAACTGTCATATACTTACGTTGTAGCCGGCATGTTATCACGTCAAAAGCACTCATTTTGTTGAGTAGCGCGAAGATTTTCGCTGCTCGCTTGGTGAGGGTATGAGGTCAACAAGTAGAATACGCCGGAGGTTTTCGGCATTTGGGTTGGTAGTGGAGTCGTCACCGTCACTCTCGTCGTCTTCGACCGTACAGTCGTCCATGAACAGGTGTATGCGCGGCTGCAGGTCCTCAAAGCGCTTCAACACGCGGTAGCAGCCGCTCCATCGAAGCTCTTGAAGTGGAATAGGTTTGTAATAACATCCATGTAGTTTCAGCTTAGCCACCCTCTTGACAGTCTTCAGCTTCTTCATTAAAGCACTAACCTTCTTAATAAGATGCACCTGCGGCTCTAAGCATTTGCGAACAGCAAGATTGAAGCGGTGGTCCGCACATCCAATCGATGGAACCGAAATTCGACGGGAAATCGCTTGTTGGCTTCCATGCTATCAGCTACAATGGCGACCATATTAGCGATGTCCAGCTTGTAGTGATCGAGATCCATGTCTAAGAATTCAATGTGCTCCGCTGCAGTCATCGACGCCTCATCTAGGAAAGGAGAGAATGCCAGGAATCGTATGCCATTTTTCGTGGCAGCGAAAATGGCAATAGCGTGCTCAGCAGCATCCGTGAAGCCGTCAAAGACAAGAGCAAACTTTTCATCAGATAACTCGTGCATTATCTTGACGTCCACCACGCCAACAAGCGAAATCATTCGTTTCAGTAGGGTCTTAGGCACTTCTGAAACCAAATTTGAAATGTGCAATTTATAACATATCAGTCTGATATCAGTTGCTAACGATAGTGATCTTGGGAGAAAAAAAGTTTTGATTTGAGAAAGAGGTGGTAGGATCTGTTATGCCCAGGGATTCCGAAAATACTATTTTTATTAAATACTTTTGTATTTTGGCTTACAAATTATTTATTTTCGGCTTTGTTTTGACATGCTGAAATATTTGTGTTGGTGCTCTTCATCTCCAATAACCCTACTTGCAGTCTGTGGGCGGTTCGGAGCACGTCCATCGATTTATTGGCCATGAACTCTCCTAAATCTGTGCATTCTCACTTTGAGTAGCTCTCATACAGCCAATTGTCTACTCTACTCAACACGATGCCTGCCAAGATCTCGCGGAACGTGCCAAAGCCACGTC